CTCACTTATGCTCATTTTAGTGATCCTTGTATTTGTGCACATGTGAGATACGGATAGGCTTTGAAGTCTTTTAACAAGATGAAGCAAGAGCAGCAGTTCCCAAACTTTTTCTGATTGCAATCCCACATACAGTCCAGTCTTCCTTGCAATCTTGTATACAAGTCATTGCTGTTCTCATGCCCTCAAAAAAGAAGAGGATGGTGATTCACTACAAGTCACTTGCTCCATAGTAGCCATCCATATGACTACTCTTATCCAGCAAAAATGGTGAAACTAGCAGTTTACCCTGCAATTAACTCAGACCAAGTTGCCCCTCTTTACCCTTCATTATCTTCAGGGTAACTGCAGGCAGTAAGACAATTAGTGTGGTGAAGCTATGGCATGGTGAAGCTCTGCCTGTAGTTAAAAGCACATACAGTACCTGAGAGAGACTGCAGTTTGCAACCTACAGTTTAGGAACCACTAAGATAAAAGGGAAGCCTGAATACATTTACAATCCCTTTTTTGAGTTCCCTTTAGGATTTTCAGCTATGCTCTAACCAGGTAGTTCCTTTAGAGATACAGAGCGTTCTTGGAAACACTTAAAATCTACATACTTTTCACACTCTTATCCTCTAAACATCCCGATGTTGCAAGTCAGCCATGACACCGGACCTTTAGACAGGGAAACTGAAGCATAAAGCAGCATAGTAACCTGGTCTGAGGAACAGGCCCTTAGGGATAACCTAGTCCATCCTTGAATCCCTGAAAAAGTTAAACATAGAAGGTGGATGGCTCCTCCCCCGTTTGACAGCTTTTTGTGATGCACACTTAAAGTTAAGATGGTGTATTACAAAAGCAGGTACATTAAACTTTTTCAGCGCCTTTAGGAGGACAAAATAGGATCACACCTAAGCACCTAGTAGAATGAACAGGATCTGGCCCCTCATCAGACCAGACCTCTTAAAAAGGAGTTGTTCTGGCCAGAGCTTCCTCTCCACACCCTAGGAAAGGATGAAACAACCTGATCTCTCAGGCCACTGTTCTTAGAAGAACTTTTAAGAAAGCATGGAAATACAAAGAGATAATCTGATTAAATAAACTTGGGGTCACTAAATCTTTTGATAAACTTATTTAGCTAGTCTATGAAAGTGCACATTTCCCTTGCCTTCTGACTGACTTCAAGCTAACTACCTCTCTCTCTCTCTCTCTCTCTAGATTTGTCCTCTACAGTCTGGCTCCCATTTGGACTGCATATGTTCTGGGGCAATGCAGGTTTGTACAGCACTTTGCACAATATGACCCACCCATCATTTGGGTCCTATAAAAAAAGCTACCACCATGAGAACCTCACACTTAACCAACTGCTTGAAGTTGCTCCTGATGGGTCAAACCCAGAATAGACTGGTCTAGAAGAACACAAAGCTGGTTTTAAATCACTGTTTCCCTAGCTGAAAGGCAAAACTTGGCCTAAACCCTGGTGTCAGCTTATGAATTTAGTTCTGCTCCCATGGAAATTCTCTCCAAACCATCTACTTTAGTTTAAATGTAACCAAGAGAAGGATCCAATTCCTACCAACCTCTGCCATTCTTTTTTGGGTCTCAGCTGGTATTTCAGGAGACATTCTCCCCGGACAACAGGTATGCCAAAATTAGCTTCTTCTTCCTGAAGAGTTTGTAGAAATGGAACAATCAAGCATTTTACTTTGCCTCTGGAAAACCAGAGGCTATCACTTGTAGAAAGACTAGGCAGTGCCTCCTTCCTACCTTACTCTGGTAACTGGTCAACAACGGAAAGATTTCCGAGTGAATCAGGTTCAGCTGGCTTTGTACTTTGTAGCTGCGCAGACAGTGCACAGCGTTGGAATTTTCATTAAGTATTAAGTGCTGAGTTTCGGATCCAAACCTGGAAAGCAGAAGGAGTAAAAAGTACATTTAAGCATAAGCCACATTTGCCCTAGGCTCAGGGCTAGCCAGATAACCCCCACAAAGCATCCCAAGCCAGTGGCCAAATGCTCCTCTGAAACGAAAACATTCGAACCCACCGTGGTACCTATTACAATTTAGAGACAGAGCCTGGAATCAGAATATCTGTGGGTTATGCTTCAGGTAAGGCTATCATTTTTAAATCAAATCAATCAAGTGAAAGCCACATACTTTTCTAGCCACTGCTTGTACCGGCTGTCCCGGAGCACAGACTCGGGGGTTATGTGAACAACCAAGGCCACATGATCCTCAGATTTTCCCTCTTGATACCTAGAACACATTTAGCAGGAAAGAAAAAAAAAGTACACCTTTGATGCACACATTACACAAGAATATCCTCACCAAAAATAGCCACATCCTCTAAAATCTACTACCAGGTACTTCAAACTGCGTAATATCGTACTTCAGGAAGGAAAACAGAGCATAGAAGTTAAAAGCACGGACTGAATGAAGGAGCCCTGAACTCTGCATTTCAATTCTAGGAAAGACTCTAGGAGAGCCTTAGTAAGTTGCTTAATACATTTTCCACTATCTTGCTGTGAAAGGGGAAAGCAATTCTCCTCTCAGTGAAATGAGTAAATTCAGTATCTATGGAACACCAAGAGCCTCACCCCTAGAAAAAAAAAGTAGCCTACTACCCAACACAGGTACCTTAAACTTTCTGAGATGAAGACAGCAGTAATCCCAGAAGATGGATGGAAGTCTCAGTATCTTTGATCACCAGTCATTAAGCAACATGTCCTCCATTGAAGGCCCTCTAAAAGTCAGATCAGCCAAATCCCCAAAATTAACAAACCTAGACTTCCCAAACCAAAGGGAGCAAGCCATCTCTCAGAGACCTTTCCACTAGCAGCATCTCTGATGACCATTTTGGAAATCTCTCTTTCAACAGGTCATTTGTAGATTTTCAAAGTCGTCAGGAAAGAAGACAAGTATAATATAACTCAATTATCACTCAGGTGTCACTAACTCTGCATATACCAAAACTGCAAAAATTTCACCCTGCATGCCAGGGAGCACATCCATACCACCCTCCATACTAGGAGTGCACTGATAAAGACTTTCATGGGCAACAGCAATAGCCGATTATTAACTAACCATATTGGCTGATACCAATCCCAAACCGATTGCCTGGCTACATTCCTGTAAGTGTGGACAGCAGCACCCTGCAGGTAAGTCTGTGGAGGGGAAGGGGCAGCTTGAGGACCCAATGGTGAGGGAGTGGGGCAGGGAGCAAGACAGAGCTGTGGGCGGCTCGTCCAAGGGATCAGCGTCACGACACCTAAAAATGGTAGTGGGTCACTTGAACTAAAGCTCACCAAATTAGCCTTACTTCAAGCACCACCACCACCATTTTTAAGTGCAGGGGCATTTAACTGGAGCAAAGCTCCAGTGGGCAAGGGCAGATGAGGGCTGCTTGCTGTGGGGGCTTGGGGCTCTCTGCTCTGCTGCCCTTCCCTTGGGAGTCTCACACTGGCCACGCATCCCCTGTCTGCCCAGCCACAGGGGGGGCACTTGTCATGCCCACTGCTGCCAGGCAGGCAGGGGACGCATGGCCAGCACAGGGCTTCGAAGAGAAAGGCAGAAGAGTGGAGAGCCCTGAGCCCATAGCAAGCAGCCCGCAACTGCCCCGTACATAACTCTGGGGGGGCACCTGCTCCCCTATGGGGTGCACACAGCAGTGGGAAGCCATCACCCACCCCAGCCCCCCAGTGCACCCTGGGAGAGCCATCCATAGCTCCATCCTGCTCCCCGCCCCAGATTCATTCACCAACTTGACTGGACACCCCCAGCCACAGCCCCACTTCCTCCCTCACCATGGAGATCTTGATCTGCAGCCCCCCTCCATGTCCATTCCACAAACTTACCTGCAGGGCGCTGCTCTCCACACTGCCCGGCCACATTCCTGGCCACGTGCATGTATACACACAGCATCCAGAGGCCCTGGCCAGAAGGCACATTATATTTATCAGTGAACATTAAGTCAGCTACACTGACCAAAAAAAAAGCTGATATCCAATAATGTTAATTTTCCTTTTATTGGTGCCGATCCAATCTGCAACCAATATATTGCTCCACCTCTACTCCATACCTTTGGAATGTGTCATTTTCACAGATGGCATCCACAAACCCTTCATGAGGACACTCAATTACAATGAAAATGGAGCTTGGATCAGGGGGAGAACAGATCTCTTCAGGCAAAATCTGCAATAAGGTACATAACAGTTACATGGAGTCCTAACACACGTGCTAGATTGATTTCTGAATCAGAATGCCTTTCAGCAACATAACCAGTAGCCTCTGCTCTTCCATCAGTAAGTTCAGTTCATCTCTCAGCCAAGCAGAGATCTCAAAAGAACTAACAGAGCATTATGCATTTACTCTTCAGCAAATGTGAATACAGTTCCCATTCTGGTATTTTCTAGCTTCTACTCCCCTTATTATATGAATTAAAAGGTTTTGTTGTGCCATTGATGCAACAGATCCCCAATTAGAGAATAAAGTAAAGAATGTGGTTAAAGTGGCAGAGGGGTGCCAGTTACTACTGACTGACTAGTGATATCCAGAGCTGCCTTTCCCTCATGTCAATTACTAACCTAAAAGATTAAAGGTTTGCTTGTCCTTAACATGGGAGCCATTTAGGTTACTCTGGAAGTAAGAGAGAGGTTAAGAATTGTTAAGTGCAGTAATAGCCCATAACTGTTCTGGGTCATGCATGGGAGAAGCACACCTGCATCTTGTAATTTAAAATCTGCATCAGCCTTTACCTAAAGAAGGACTAAAGTTCATAAACTCAAACTACTGCCAGTTCAAATCTTTAGAACAGATCAACCTCTATGGGTTTGAAGGGACACACATGACTAGCACACATTACAGCTATTTCAGAGTATGTTTTTTCCTAACCATCTCCTCTCTCCGTACTATCAAAAAGAACACAGGACAGTTTCTGCCTGCCGTAACAAGCATGAGGAGAACACGTTACTTACTGTAATGATCTGGTGGTGAAACACAGAAAACTTAAAAAGTAGAACAACTACCAAAGGAGATTACAGCACCCCAGAAGATATGCAGGGCTGAGATACTCAAGGATAAAGCATGGATGGGGAAAGGTTCAAATTAGCATTTCCAGCAAGTGGCAAGGGAAGGTTCTGAACATATCTGCAGTCTCCTAACCCCAAGAAGCAGATTTCTATAAAAGTGTACAAAAACGCCATTTGCTTACTATAATGTTCACCCTGACATGAATTCCACCCAGCCTACACCATGGCTGAACAGCTAATAGCACAAGGCGCAGTCTCACCGTACCTCTCTGCCTTCAAAAGTGACGCTCTTTCCATCTTTGACAGCTGCAATTATAGGCTGAATGGCTGCAGTTTCACTGAAAATGAGAACACAAGAGACAGTTATACCAAGAGTGGGCAACTGGAACTCTCCTGAGCAAAAGGCAGGGCTCTTGTACTTACACTGGCAGGCCCAACTCCTTTGCTTTAAACACCAAGAAGTTCCCTTTCCTTGGGTGAAGCTGAGAATTAAAAGAAAGTAGAGTTCTCTCAGAAAGAGCTATTACCAGCAGCATACACTGAGTTTAAACACAGCCAAAAAAGAAACAACAGACAAGAAATGTGGTTAACATAGTTATTGATATCTTTATGAAGCATGAAGAGGCAGTTTCCTCCCAAAAGTTTCAGTGGCTGATCTACTTTACAACACCCAGATACATGAATATGAACTCTAACCTACAGAGGCAGAGCCTCAAACTTCAACAAGAAAATTTCTTCTAAGTTATGCAGCTGAATTAAGTATTTAAAAAAAACCAAACAATTAAGAGTTCCACTTGGTGACTAAAGCTCCTGTTACTCAGCTTTCAGTTCTTTGATATATCCCTTCTTATAATCTCACTAGCTTTGCTCTTCTAGGAAAAACAGAGCAGACAAAGGAAATAAGCACAATATGTATGCATCCATCTACTCTTCTTGCACCAAGTTAAAAAGTAACTAATAGATTTTTTTTTCATCTTTTGAACATCACTCCTATGATTGAAACGATATGCGAATTTGAACAAAAGGCTGTTTATATCTGCCTGCTGTGTGTATTAATTGAAACATGGTATTTCAAGCATTAACGGTAGAAGGGATGCAACTAGTCTTTCCCTTTACATATACTCCAATGCTCACAATCTCATTACCTGGGTTTTAGTTTCAACATTCTAATCCTTCAAAACAATGACTAATCTTACACTGCTGAACCAAACTGGAGTCATATTAAAGGACAGAAGTGAATCAGTATTAGATTTTTTGA